TTAAGACTTAGTGTTAACGATCGTAAAAGTACTTTAGATAAATTGAAAGTCTTCTTTTGCTGGATAAAGAAGAATATTTTTTAAACATTTAGTTTAATTTTACTTACGTTTCAGTCATTAATAATATCCGATTGTTTAAAATTAGCTATGCACATTTGAATCATTAATACACATACTTTTTTATATTATTAGTTTCTCATTAAATAATCAACATTTACATACTAAAGTAGATGTTTTAATTTTATAGTGTTGTAACGTAATAGTATTTTACCATTTTTTAGATAGTAGATTTTTTTAATTAAGAGTTACTTTATAAGAATACTTTGAAGAAATAAGATTACGTAAAGGAGAGAAAACTTTATAAGAAATTAACAATTCATATTAATATTAATAATATTTCATAATAGTAAAGTGGCTTGATGAGACATCATATAAAAGTTTATTTGAAACAACATTTTATTTGAAAATTCAGTGTCAATATGAATAAAAATTTTCAATAATATTTCAATGCAATTTAAAGAAAAGTATTTTATTAAAATTGGGGAATATAGAAGTTAATGAAAAAAAAACAAAAAAAAAAAAATAAAAAAAAATTACTAAAATGTTCTAATAAAATATAATAAATGTTTAAAAATAACCATAACTGATTGAACATTCAATATTACGAATTTAAATTCTAATTTAATTAATTATGTTCATAGTTTTTGAACACAAAGGAAGTCTATTAAACAATATTTTTTAATTAAGGGTACCAGTAATAATCGCATTAGCTTGCCAACTTACTAATACTCGATTGCATAGAAATTTATGAGCTAATGAAAAATAAATAATCCCGAATATTATGCAAACATATATGTAACTGAAATATTGGTTATTGTTAAAATGAAAAAAAAAAAAAATTAATTAAATTTAAATTTAATTAATAGTTGCATAAAAATTAAAGGAAATTGTTCGATACGTATAAAATAAATTAAAAGTTTCAAGTTAAGTTATAAAAGGTTAATGTAGAGTTAATGGTCTTGTCAGTGATGTAACCGCATATTTGGGGTGTAAAGGAAGGTTGCAAGTGTCAAGACCGCATATTTTGATTCAAACTCACGAAGAAGTTATATCATTATATTTCCATCTAACTTTGTTACATTTACGTTGGCAATAAAGAGATTCAAAGATATTGAAATTTGTATTGTGCATACACACGCCCAGACACTTCTTTATCGAATATTTGACTTTATAGACAAAAGATAAATTAAATTGCAGTTCGTTTACTATATTTATATTTTTCAAAATTTTCATCATTTTATTAAGAATTTTGCGTTTCCGTAACGAGTGTTTAGTACTCAAAAGTAGAAAAGTATAAATTTTTATTAGATATTCCAAGAGAATAGAAATATTATTTTTTAATGTAAAATGAAAATTTTAATTATATTTTCATTAAGACCAGTAGTTAGGTATTTGTTAAAAATCTTCATAAGCTTTTATAGACTTATACTATTAAATATAAGCTTGCAATAATCTGAAATTAATTCTAACATAAGCGCTTAATATTTTAATATTATTTATGCAATGTTTATTCATAAACAATTGTAAAAAAATATATTTAGAAGGACAGTCAAATATGTAATGCACATATAAGTTATAGTAGCGTAATTTTTCTTTTTTTGATCTTGTGTGTAATTGATGGTTGTATAACCGATGGCATTTTATTTTATAACTGATAGTTAAATTCGTAAAAATATTATAAGATTCATATTCGTCTTTCATACTCTGATTTATAAAACAGTTTTTTTTTACCGTTGTACATTCAATTAAATTGTTAAAATATCATTATTAAAATTGCTGTTGTACTTCAATGAGCAGAAATGTTTAATAACAGAGTTGTAGAAAAATAAATGAAAAGTATATAGCAATCGGCTTGGGTAATAATATATTTCATTAAAGTGAAAAAAAGTTCTGCGGTTCTGTGTAATCAAAACTCTTCAATCAAATTAATTCGAATTGAAGGAATGCTTCCAGCTCTGTAGGTACGATATTTGAAATATTTTGTTCGAGCGTTCTAATTTTTATTGGCTCGTCATTCCACGTAACGAAAAAGTTTATTCTCAAAATCACAGGGCTGCTATTTCTCGCAATACCGAAAAAAAAGGAAAAAAAGGAAAAAAAAAATTGGTAAAACGGCATTTTTCCCTTATCCTTTGATAAGCCATTGTACTTAACCGGCTTCGATGCCCCTATTCCTCCTCCTACTTCTTCTCCCCCCTCCCCCCCTCCCCCTCCCCGCACCAGCGACAAATTCCTTTGTCACTTTTCATATCGAGAGCGAAATTATTATCAAAACGAGAATTAGGAGTGATAAGGTAGATTTGCCGCGAGAGGAAACTGTCGGAGAAGTATAACGCGAGGACTGCGATATCATTTTCCTATAAAGTTGCGCGTCTTGATAATTATTACGACGTCCATCAAGAGCGGCCGATCCATATAATATCAACCGATTAGAAGGTTACGCTGAAAAATCGTTGAATGCCTGTCGCCGCAAAAAAAAAAAAACGACGATAATCCTCATTCTCACTAGCCGTTCCGACAACAAAGAGCCTTGGCTCGAGCATTTTATGCACAACACCCGCACCTCGTCTCACCACGTAATGATGCATTGTAATGAAACTCAGTCGGGCGTCCCTTGTTAAGTAATTACAGTCCAATTACATTAGCGGCGTACCGTAAGTGCGCTAGGTCGCTCCTCCGCTGCCCCAAGTCCCCGCGAAGTTTTTTCCCTCCTTTATTTTTCGCCAAGTCGCGGCTCTCGTAGCGGCATCGATCGGTCAACTTCATTTCCCCGTGGCGAGTCAATATTTTTTAGCGCGGCATCGGTCGCCTCGCGCCCGCTCAAGTCACATTTATCGGGGCTTCGCGGAATATCGCACCCACTCATTCTTCGTCCTCGTTTATGCCGCGCGCTCCTTCCGCCCGAGACGTCATCGCCACCCTGGCTGAAAAATGCTCGGTCGGCTCGTTTATTTTGCGCCGTAGTCTCGGCGATGTATCATCTTCCGCCGTGCCACGGCGAATTAAGATTCGCCCCGTCGCGATAATTAAAAATTTACGTTGACGAATTTCTTCTGTTTTTTTTGTTTTTTTTTTTTGTTTTTTTTTTTGTTTTTTTTTTGTTTTTTTTTTTTTATAGAAACTTTAGAGTGGATCTGGCAGATGCATGGCTATCCGCGGGGAAACAAAGATGCAATTATAGCGGTGCTACGGGCCGCCGGCCACTGACCTTCCGTTCAAGTGATACATCAAGCTTTTGATTCCGGCATGACGGTTACACAGCCGAACGTTCTTCTCACAATGCTCAACTATTACTTAAGGCGCGCGGACTTGGAAAGTTTAAATGAATAAAGTTTATCCCGAACAATATCTTTAATTATAAACAACGTCGAGCTACTTGGGTCGACTTTTTCTCGACAGCGTCTCATTTTTCACGAAAAACAAAGCTCGAGTTACAGCGTGCCACTGCTGAAGTTTTTACTTTGTTAAGGGCTGAAAAATGACTCAGCTCGCACAAAGCAATGTAAAGTGCATAAATCTGCGCTGTTTACTTCATATGTATGTTTGAAAACTTATAAATGCAACAAGAGCGATTTCTTATATCGATAGTCGCTTTTAAAGTTGTTTTCATGCTACCAATTCAGGGGACGCGCGCGCTCGTCTATGAAAAATAGTTTTGCGAAAAAGTTGAAAAACAACCGGTAAGACTTAAAGATGAATTATCATTTTTTTATTACACGAGAATAAGACGCGATTCATCTCGATCAATGAGATTTACTAGAAAAATTTCCCATGAATTATATTGCTCGGCAATTGAGGATGCGCATACGTATTTCGCTACGTAGGAACAAAGTTGCGAACTTGCTCACTTCATCACACTTGCGCACACTTGTAAGCGTCTGCGCGCGGCCTTGTGCAACCTACCAATCAACTGTTTACCTTATCTTATGAATTTTAATCGTACTTCATGTCAACTTCTTGTGTAATCCCGTGCTCCAATTCATTTTTTCCCCCGCGAATTTCAATGCTCCCTCCAGCTCCCGATGCCAGGGGACATTAAACGTGAGCATCCAAAATTTTCCAGAATTCGTGAGAAAAATTATCTCGATCGCCCAGTAAAGAATTATCATTCAACGCACTCGCAAAGTATCGTCGACTCGCGTCGTTGATCATAAAATTCAGATGAACAAGAAGGAGAAAAAGGGATATAACAATCAATGGATACGTGAGCGCAGAGACTGCATTTAGTGAACTCGAGCAGCCCTCTGGCATTATTATACATCGAGTTTGATTGAAAAAGCGAGCCAAACTCCGGAAATTTAGCTTAATTGTACCGATAAAAGTATGCTGTGTTGCGAAATTAAAAACGAATGGGACGAACAACGTCGAGTACCCGTGACTCACTTATTGCTCACGGCAATTAAATAGCTCAATAAATTAAATTAAATCTCGCATTTATACAGTTACGGTAAAATACGCTTTACGCATTTTAGATTCTTAAGAGACCGATTTCCAATAAACCTGAGCCCGGTGGTGGTTTTGTCAGTGCAGCACAACTAAAATCTAAAATCATGCAGTGATCGAGCGCAATCGGTAAACATCGTTTTAATATCCTACTGCCCCCTCCATCCCTACGTCCCACCATCCTACCATCCCACCATCCCTCCCTCCCCACTCACTCCTCACATTAACGCGAACACTTTCTCCGATCACGCGAGCACAACTAAACACTGTATAGCTGAGTATGGGTTAGCTTGAGTAAAAAATGGTTACCTTATAGTTTATATAAAAAAGTAATTACCATTAGGACGTAAGCTCAACGACCGTCGAAGAAAATTTCAAATTCCCTAGCAATGGACCATCCCGAGGCAAATGGAGGGGCGCACTAGCGACTCCCGTAGGTTGGGGCTCCGTTTTGCTTATCCTGGCCTCCTTAAAACCAGCACTCGGTGCACCCATCGTCATACGTACCTATAATAAACATAGATCATCGCTGCCTTAGCGCCGCTCGTCCGAGAGCGAGCGAGCGGTGCCAAGCCTAAGCTCGCGGGGCCCTGGGCGCCACGGGCCCGCGCTACGACTCGGCCCTCATCGCGTAACCTAGAGCTCGTAGATGTCGCGGCCGTTCGGCCGGGTGACCGCGGGTCTGCAGGAGGCTGGACTCGCGTACGAATGGATGATGTGGACCCTGAGCCGGACGTCGCCGGAGGAGCGGCCGCCATCGCCGCGCTGACGCCTTGAGAAGCTCACCGTCGTCTTGCAGCAGCAGTAGTGGAAGAGCTTGACGTAGGCGCTGCGGAAGTGCCGGTCCGCGACGCAGTAGAGGAGGTTGTTGAAGCAGGACTTGGAAAGGGCGAACCAGGCCAGGTACACCACGATTTTTGGACTCACGGGCTTCACCTGGCGGTCAACGGTCATTACGGCCATTAACTCGGGGGCACTGTGATTGGGGCCGGGGCGTTTGGTCGGGCCATTGGGTAGGAGGTAGGATGAGGTGCTGGACGAGGTTATATCGAGGAACTGCCTGGACTGGAGGAGGAGTGTCGAACTCTTATCACGGTCGTCAATTTTCATCGTGCATTTGCGTTTATTCGACCAGCTCGTCCCGTTCACCGAAATGCAATTGATTTATTATGGACGCTCGTCCCGGATCTCTATCGTAATCGCTCATGGAAATTCAATTAGATTCCAAAGTTCCAGTTATAAAGCTGATGCTACTGGGTGACTGGCCCCGCAAAATGCCATTCGCAACTACCGTTTCAACAACAACAACAACAACAACAACAACAACAACGATAACAACAACAACAACAACAAAGATAACAACAACAACAACAACAACGACAACAACAACGACAACAACAACGATAACAACAACGATAACAACGATAACAACGATAACAACGATAACGATAACAACGATAACAATTATAACAATAATAAAAGCCAATATTTCGAGCTCGCGTTATTGCAAGTAATTAAATAATTTATTCATTTTCCTGTATTGCGGTATTTTACATTGCGGACGGGAAAAATCTTTGTAAATGTCATGGATTAGCAGCAGCGAGAAACAAATAGACAATGCAATTCAATTTCAAAATCCATAAGCAATCGAAGAACGTTGGATTAATTAAAGTTGGCTAATAAAGTCCCGACCAACAGCTTAGACACATACATAGGCGCTTACGTTAAATTGTTAAAATCATCTCTGGAACTTCGATCGATGTTTTTTCTTTTTCATTTTAAAGGATTAAATTAGTTCCTTCCCTCCCACGCTCGTGAAATTTCATATGCTACCGCACAATGCATTTGCACATGCTTATTTTGCCCGAGAAGAAGCGCTCGCTTCGTAGTTTGCTTTTTATTATCGTTTTAAAGTATCATAAAACTACGACAGTTTTATTTACGTCATCGAGTACCCACATATCCATCTATACCCCTCAGTCAATGTCAATAAGAATTAATATTTATCAAAAAGCTCAATTATCATTATAGCTTGAATGTACAGCCTGTACGAGATTTTTTTTCACGACCTCTCGGCACTTGAAATGCAAAAGTTTAAGAGTACCATGACGTACCCACGACGCAAAAAAGCCATGAGCTGTTTCGTACTTTCGTAACTCGTTAAGATCGCGAGTCAAATGATTTTATCGGACAATAGTTGAGCTGCCGACATTGGAAATCGTCGAAAGAGCGTATAATAATAATTATTGGTCGCGTGTGCGACTAAATATAATGTGATATCGGCGATAGGGAAGGCGACGGGAACTCACCACGCTGATGCAGAAGGCGACGCCAAGGGGCAGCCAGAATATGCCGAACAGGAAGAAGCTGTACATGTTGGCTTTGGTGAGCTCGTAGTCCCAGTTGAAGGCGACCGGGGGCTTGTAGGAGCCGCGCATCGCACTGCGCACGCGCAGCACAATCCGCGCGTACACGAGGACGGTGAAGATCATCGGCGCCCCGACGATTATCGACGCGCTCACGATACCACTCGTGTTCGTCGTCATGGTGAAGGGCTTCTTCCAGTTGATGTTGCAAAGGTTCGGCCCGAGCTCGAGGCTGGACTGGAGGCCGACCGCGGTCGAGGCAACCAGCCAGACGACTAGGACCGTCCCGGTCACGCGTCTCGTCGTCAGCACTCGATATCTGTATGGGACAAGTGCGAGCCAAAATAAATATGCGATCGCTCGTCAAGCGACCCCCAGCCCCTTCCCAAGCGAATTAATCCGCGGGCCGTCATTGACGGACCTGTCGGATCGGCCGCTCGTCTAATCCCTCACACCTTTCTCATTATACCCATTTCACTTTCGCCTGACTTAAGTGCAATTACTGTGCTTTTCAATATTATTGATTGACTGGCTCCCGTGCTAATTCACTAAAATTTAGATATTATTTTAAAATCATTTATCTATTCCGGGTATTAACGGACAGCGGCATTTACCCCCCCCCCCCCCCCCAGATCTCACCGCCCGGAATATTAATTGTCATTGTGGCATTTATTTAAGAATTTTTTATTCAAAACCTCGCTAAGTAAGAAGTAATTGATTATCTGGACTAATGGTTTCTCAAGCCTAGTTTCATTACAGTTGCATTTATTCGCGGATGATATAGTAATATCATAGTCATTAAATTGATCGATAATCAATGATTTTAATTATACTGCGGCTACTTGAATTCCTATGAAGTCGCATGAAGATAAAATTATATTAATATAGATGCGAAGTTTTAGATATAAAATTTCTTTGATCAAAATGATGATTATTTAATTAATTTCATACAATTTTCAGTATACTTAAGTTTTTAATTTATTAAATACTTACAATGTAGTTTAGCACTTCTTTTCATCGAGTATGAAAAAAAAATCATTTCCAATCTTTTATCCATTAATCATATCACTATCAACGGTCATATAATATTTATCGTAATAAATATGGCCAAGTTCTTCGCTGTTGTAAAGCGATACTGTTTTATTTTATGAAAATAAAATATAAATATGTAATACAGAATAATTTATTACAATAGCAATAAACATGTCATATGGGATAGATAATATATTTCCATTATTATTACTCCATGACATTACGCTATAATTATCCATAAGAAAAATAATAGTTAATTAGTTTTCATATTATCACGCGGATTTTTTTTTTCATTATTATTATTAGTATATTTCTCGAAAGTTTAAAAACATTTTATAAACAATAATTTATAAAATATATTAATATTTTCTTGAATTTTTGCATAGGGGATTTTAATCTTTTTACGAGGTATTTTATAATATTATGTTACATCATACAAAACAAAGTACGAAAAATAGTTTCTATTATCGTTTCTCAATATTGATTATGATATTTGTTAATATATAAAAAAAAAAAAAAAAAATAAGAATTTGTTAGGTAATTTTAATGAAATTTTAACGAAATTATTTCATCAACATGAGATTCAACATAAAACAAATCAATATCTAAATACTCTATGAACAGAAATATAATTTTAAAGGAAGAAAAGATGACTTGTTGGAAACCAAAATTTATTACACATGATTAATATAGAGAAGATTTATTAAAAATAAAAAAAAAAAAATTTTTTAAAAAAAAAAAAAAAAAAAAAAGCATAATTATCTGTTTTAATATATTTATTAGAGAAAGATATGAATGATTGGGCGAAAGCATTGAGCGCCGAAATCCGAAGACGAGGAGCAAAGTAATAAAGTTATATATAGAATGATACCGCTAATGTGGTAATCGCGAGGAACTTTGCCACGTAGTTAGCAGATATTACAAATTCAAAAGTTTGGAACAATTAGATCCACTTGCTTAATTAATGACCGAATTTCTTTATTAGCAGAAATTAATTGGATGGGTGGCGTAGATGCTCGCATAATGCCGACCTTGAAAAATCACCTTTGTCAAGTACGTGAGCCAACGTTAATATCACATTTCAAATGACGCTTTCATTCCAGGATTTCGGCATTAGGAACTACATATCGCTCATCACTGTAATTAGCTACGTGCCTTTTCACCACGAGCCATGATAATGATAATTAAATTTGGGCGTGGTCCGTGGGCCAGCACTCACAACGACAACGCAGGTGCGGCCATCTTTAAATAAAAGTGCGACACTCCATCCCTCCCATCCTCTCCTCTCTTAATCCACCACCATCATCCTCGCTGTCTCCGTACCTCAATCCCTCCTACGTCCCGTAGCTCCTTCGATCAAAACTCTAAACCACGCGCACGCGACAGCCTTTCCTGACTAATCGCACAGGCCCCCAATCTCCACTGCAAAGATCCATCGACCGACGTCACGTGCTTGACACCCGAGGAATCCGTCACACCTCTCGTCCACTCCACACGAACTAACGACGAATCTCGGAATTAATAGACCCTCAATTGGCCATCGTGATATTCCTCGTCGTTGTCGTGGTGCCGCGCGTGGAAACAAAGAACGAGGCTGCGAGCGCAATTCAAGGACAAGAGCATCGGGGTGAACTGCTTATATGAACTGCTTAGGAAATATTTTCGGGGGTCCGATTAATATATATTGGGACCGGTTCGTATGACAATTTTATCCAAATTCATTTATCGATACCTCTGAGCTTTCGTTCAATGTCGCTGCGCATAATTTGACGGCAATGTGCGTCAACTGTCACGTATATGATGTTGTAATTTGCGTAAAATGAAGTACCGTATATTGCATAAATGAGATCTTGATAGTAATGGTGTCTAATGTAATGATAAATATATTCTTTTAAATTATCCTCGTTAATGCATAGAAGTAACTGTACAGTAAAGTGATTGTTTGGACTAACGACATTCGTAGCGAGAATTTCCGATTAAATGTTAAACAATATTATGCGGCATAAAGTTAAAACAAATAAACAAACAAACAAACAAACAGACAAACAGACAAAAATAAATAAACAAATTTATGAATTTTTTCCTTTTTTTAAAACTTAAATAATTTATTAAATGATTGTTATTCCATTAAAACTACTTACTTATAAATGTATTTTTGAATAAGTTTTCAACATCAATGGCACAACATTTTTTAATGTAAATTCCGAATAGTCTCGAATAACGACGTGTAATCTCGTTTTTCAAAATTATTCATATACATAGTTCGAATTGGTTCATTACACCATTACCAGTGCTGTGAATATTTTGCTTGATAAATGTAAATTTGAGATAATTATAGAGTGCCCGAAGTGTCTAAAGCCTGCCTTAATAACTTATTGATTTTCATTACTAACTCGAAATAATTGTTATGCGGTGATCGTATTCCATGTTAAAGGTTCGAATAACTACAATTAGCCAAGGCGTACGAATGTAAGGAAACAGGAGGGAGATGATCAATCGTACAAGTGCTTTCATAGATGAAAAAAGGAAAATGTGAGTGCCGTTGAATTTGGCCGTTTAAAGGAAGAGAACGTGGGAAAACGTTGTCTCGCAATTCTTTCTTACAAAATATAATCAACATTTAATTCCTAAGCATCGAGGAGGTTTAAATTTATTACTCTATGTGAATAAGATTTTTTTTTTTTACATATAAATTGCTTATATTTTTACAAGATTGTGAAAAGGAACAAAATAACATTGATCGATAATGCAAAATTGTATGCGTCTATGCTCGTGCGTGCCTGTTAAATCGTTAGAAATTTTTTTTATTATTGATTACAACGTTATTATTAATATGTGTATGTTAATTTTGTTTTTCTTTTACCAAATAACATAACAAATTTATCCTTTCTGATTAAATAATATTTACCCGTTAAAGATTGCGAGAAATAGCGAGAAGTTTATTTGCTATTTTGCTCTAAACATTTATATTTATTGTTGAAATGTCGTAACATTTTATTAATAATAAGCCGTTCCTCAATGTTCTTAAGAGATTTTTTTTTTCATATGATTCGTGCCGTTAATTAGCTGAACTTGATAATTAGAAAATATTGCGCATCTCAGAAACAAAGTGTTATGAATATTTCACCAAATATAGTCAGAAACAAAGGGATTTACAATTTGATGCATTGGCTTGCTTTACATAAATAAAACCTTAATCAATAATTCGAAACTTCAATTTTCCTTAATGGATAGATTCGAAGAGATCATAAGGTAAGCCATGAACTTCAATATTTTATTAATAAATATACAATGACAGAGAAAAGTAAATACGAAAACGGCGAGATAAAATTTAAACAATCAATTATATGAGATTTTTGTAAAAATACCATAATATTGTAATTCCATCCAATTTCATCCAGAGGCACGATTAATTAATGTATATTGCAAAAGGAATGAATATAACGACTCTAAAAATTATTATGTATAAATGATTACAATTTGGAATATTTGCATTGAATTAAATAGTTTATTCAATATAACGACATATGTTTTATTTCAATTTAATGTTTCATGATTTTTATCGAACCGTTTATGCTAATGTAGTCGTGTACAAATATTATTTGCCTAAATATACACATATAATAGTGCGATTGAAAATATCCGAGATTATTTTATCATAGCTCAAAGCCAAATGCTAATAATGCTCAATGTAACTACAAGTCCTTAAAAATTATTATATTGAGTGAATATTGAGTGAAATACGTAAAATTTCACTCACCATTACGTTGGATTGATGAAACTTATATAATTCCGTCTAATTAATGAAAAATATTATTCTTTAAAATTTCTGAAATACGTCTATAATCCGCATTCAATTTCGGCATTTTATTGAATAAATTACAAGGGGAAGCCTTAATTGACGATATAAATAGTGTAATATTGATTTGCAGCATAATTAATTAATCGAAATTGTATTTGACCGAGCATAGAAGATAATTATACTCCAAATCAAAGTGACTTTATATAATTAAATATAAAATATCGAGCTTGCAGAGAAAGTAATTGGCTATCGTTAGATAGTCGTCACATCCGGCGGTCTGTCTTTGTTATCGTTATTATTATTATTATTATTATTATTATTATTATTATTATTATTATTATTGTTGGCAATTCGTTGTCAGCTTTATCTTCTTTGGTCTTGATTTTTAATTATTTTAACTTCCCCTCGCTTTCTCATTTCCTTTATACAATTTTAGCTTAAAAGATTATGACAAATGATGACACGATCATCGGTAGGTCTTGAGA